TGAAAAAAATGTCGCTTACGTTTTGTGAAGCAGCTTTATAAGGACTCTTCCAAAAGGTCTTCTGAAATACGTCCTACAAAAGCCCTTCTGGAAGCCCATCAATGGGTAGCGAAACCAGAAGGCCTTCTATTTGTGCCACTCTATACAAAAAACAAACGGGCAGATGCCTCTTGACTCTCAAACTTGCACCTTTTGGAAGGGCTTTTAGCTTCTGAAATTATCTGCTGGGCATTAAACTAGCAAGCAATTAATAGCTCTAGTTGAGAATTCTATTTCTGTTAATTTTCTAACGCTTTGCTCGTGTGAACTTTGAATATTTGAGTATCAGAATCAAATTTTGCGGAATATTAAATTTTCAAACAAAGAATTATATTTATGTAGATTCTAACGAATTGATTTATAGATATGCATGTAAGTATGTATGGATCCAGCTAGAAAAACAATGTAATTTTCGGAACGTTCATCTGCGGTTTACGAAATTGATTGCCTAATTATTTGTAAAATATGTGAATATACATATGTACATATCTCGCACATTCAGAATTCCTAGTAGCATCTACATATGTATTTGTATATATCGACACCCGGATAAATAAACGTCTTATATGAATGTTGGGCAAAATTGAGTTAATGATGCAATTATACTAAATTAAATACATACATACACATAGAGCCAAACATCATAGTAATTTTAGTACCGTTTACAACCAAAAGCTTACTTTAACCCAGATTATATTATAAAAGTAATGGATTTGTTGTAAATGATAAAATTTAAGACACATTTTATTCGAATGAGCTACTGTTAATCGATTCAGCTATGAAATTCTACACAATATAGAAAAAAAGGTGAGATTCATTTCTGCAACAGTGAAACCTCGAGATAAAGAAGTTGAAAGCGTTGCGAAATGCTTCAATATATCTATAGTTTCGTTATGCAGTAAAACCCGCTTAAGTACCTCACGAAAAATGACAGCTTTTTGAGGTACTTAGACGGGTTGGGTAACTTAAAAGAACCCGCTTAAGTTCATCGATGCGGGTACTTAAGCGAACATAATTATTGATGTAGTTAATCTTCTTGTTAACTTACATAAATAAGTTCTAGAAGTAAAAATGAACATTTAATGAAGTGTACGCAGTTTAAAACCAAGATCTTAGCATTATTTAAACACATAAATCGATAAAGCATTGTTATGTAATTTTTACAAGAATTCAATTCTTTAAAGTCATTGATTATACATATTTATACATACATACAGTGTTGGACATATCTATCATTTCGGACCAAATTCAAAATGATGTTGTTTGCCACTTATGCTTATTTATTCATTTTTAAGATTTTTCAATAAAAACAAAGTGCACTCCCTAACAAATACCATATAGACCTAAGCTTACAATTTTTTGAACAAAATTTTCATCAAAATATCAAACTGAAGCGGGTTTCACTGTATTTGTAGAATATCTTAACCTCGATACAACGAAAAATTCAAAATTTTGGAAAAAACGATTCCTTTAATGGTCGATTATTTGACTGGTAACGTTACATTCGTACGCATTTTTTCTAAAATGTGAATCGATTGTCCATTAAATAACAGAAAACCACCTGGGGTTCTTAGGTGATATGATTAGGCATGGCCAAATTTACGAGTATGTGTCTGTAAAAGAAGGCATTTAATAAATCGTTTGGTTTCAAAGTTATAGGCATTCGAATGTGCACTGGCTACGTTACACTATTTGGAGGTTCAATGATAGGTTGTGTCAGAAAGTTTGAAATTTCTGCGAAATGTGTGAACGAATATTACTAGTTTTACAGTATGTCATCTACAGTGAATGCAGGAGGATATCTGCATAATAAATTGTTGTAAATTTTAGGTTTTTAAAATTTTTACTCATAAAATTTGGGCACTGGTAACGTTACACAAAACACTGGCCACGGTACACGTACGGTTCGCTTGGGCAAGGTTTAACCAAATGGCTTCGCTGATCCATTTTTTCTTCGCATTCTTATTCTGTCATCATAAAAAAATGTTTGAGCTAAAATTGGGAATCTTCTATGAAGGATTAAAAAGTATAACTCGATTATCGTTAAAAATTCTAACTAGGTCAAAAATCATCCTACAGTAAAATTTTTGACCGGAAAATCTTCGTATTATCAGCGAAAATAATATTTATGTATTTAACTTAACTGAAAAACCACTTATTTTTAATAACTTAAAATAGGCATAAGTTCAACTAAGGTACCATGTTGTGTGTTTTCTTTTTAATCCTTTCTGAGTCATTGTTTTTTTTCCAATACCATCCAAGACAATTTCAAAACAGATAAGGTGGTTTCGACAACTTCGTTCATCTTAGATACAAAAATGTTAATGCATTTATCGCAGTTCTATAGAAAAGTTCTCTAATAAAAATTTAACAAAACCATTCTCACTCTTTATAGTCTGGTGTAGACTTTTATCAGATTCTACATACAAATATGTAGTGATAGGAATTCAATCACATGTAATGGCGTATAGATAACTTATCAGTTTTACATATTGCAAAAAATTTCATTAAATTCCAGGGAAATATATACACAAAATCTTAAGAGATAAAGATTTCAAAAGATATTTTACAAATATTAGATTCGCTTTATTTAAATAGAATAGTTATCCGTAATCGTTCTACCGATTTCTACCAAATTTGGCACAGCTGATCTTGGTACAACATAGCAAATGGTTGAAAGTGTTTGAAATCAGAAAATAACCACGCCCGCATCCCATAAAACGGTAATTTAGAGAAATACCAAATATTCGATAAATCAGTAACTACTGAAGCGGAATTATTATAATTGATGTTTGCAATAATTCTTTGGCAAGAAATTCGTCTATAAAAAATGGTTGGAAAATGAGCTTGACACCGCCCATTTATATGTACACACTTACATATGTATGTGTGTCTCGGTAACCGTTCCATCAACTTGCACCAAACTCGGTAAAGTTACCGTAACTTGCCACATAAAAGCAAAATGTTGAAAATTTTTGAAACCGGACTAAATTTACGACCACTTTTCATATAACGGTAAATTTCAGAAATGCTGAAACTTCAATATTTCGCAATTTAAGGACACTAGTTTACTCAAAATAGATACTCACAACAATCCCTTGAAAATAAGTAACATTTACCACGTTTATATGATGCTTCAATTCGTTCTAAGTCAAACCATGTTATTTGGACACACACATGTAAACTCATTCTTAAATCGAATTGAAACTTTTAACCGTGCCACCATAAATCACATTTTGGATGCGAGTTAACAGTTTTTGAATCGTGTTAAGAGTGCATATATACACGAGATTTGTCCACACGGTTGTTTCATGCAACTCTAAATGAAGTAAAACATTTAAATAGTTCTTGAAATTACATTTGGACTAAGCTTTGTTACAAAATTAATAGCTAATATCCTTTTATCTTGGCTGTTTGAGTCTTTAATTCTTATTTTTCCATGTTTATTATTTTCAAGAATAGACACATGTATTAACAGGGTTGCATCGGAATGAACTCTGTTTAAAAGCGTGTTTGATCGACTCATTTATTTTGTTGCATATAAACACTTGCATTTCAAGCGAGCTACACTGACACGAGTTCATTCGATACCGCGCTTGGTGCCATATAAACAAGGTAATTGTTATGAAATTTTGAAAATGAGTGTGATACCGCCTACTTATAGCTGTATAAGTTTATCTCATCAAGTATAACTGAACATACTATCGAAGATTTTTGAAATTGGCTAAAACCACCCCTGCTAACCATGTAACGGTATTTTTCGGAAAGGTGAAGAAACTATATTTTATACGTGCGCCGGATATTTAATGTTTGGCTTCGGCCGAACTTAGACTTTCTTACTTGTTTGAGTATAAATTTTTTGTGCATCCTTACTACCAGCACTCGCAAAATCTCCACTTTTTACTAGTTGGAAGATTTCAATTATGTATAGGAGTTAAGTTATGAACAGGGAACGGATTTTTTGGATCTAAAAACTTATAAAAAAAGCAAAGTAAGATAACGAAATAAGCAGGAAAAGGCACTAGAAAAGAAAAAAGGAAAAAGAAAGCACTAAAAAAGACATAAACCGAAAAACAATCAAAAAATACTAAAATAAGTGTAAGAAATGTTTATTTTACAAGTAAAAAAAGAATAACTATTGACTAGTTTCTTTATATGAAAAATGTGTACTTGAATCTACGACTATTTTCTCCTTTCGAGTTTTCAACTCAGAAAACTTTAATCTCTATAGTTTTAGTAAACTAATAAAACCACAAGGAGCATTTTGAAGTTTTCTGGCAGCATTTTCATTCGATTTTCGCGAAGAAAACCTTGAATGAACTAAACGTGCGCTCGGCGTGAGTTGATACAAGTGGCGCTCAATTTAAATATGGAACGTTTACAACTTTCATATTATCAGGAATAAGGTATCAGATCATTAAAGGTAGAAAAGGCAAAAAAGTGCAACATCAAATGTGTATATATGGAACCAGGGGCGGCCAAATCGTGGACATTCTTAATCAAATATACTTAGCAGAAAAGAAGACAATTTCCACAAAATCCATTCCCTGGTTATGAATCACACCAGATCCTTGCGTGTGGAATATCTCAATTGGCAAACCATCGGCTCTGTCATCATTGATCAAGGATTCGGGCCTTATCATTTCCAAACGCTCTGCCTTTTTTAACATTCAGCGGGTTGAAGCTTTGTCGTTTTTATATTTTACATACTAAGTGCGGTCTGGTCATTAGCCATCAGTTCGTCGTTTTTTTAGCTCGGAATAATTTGTATGGCTCTCTTCCTTTCTTAACTTTGTAAGCGGATTGCGCTGCGCTCGATCGTAGTGTGCCCATGTGACAGTGGAACCTCGGATTGGTCTAAAGCGCTATCGTTAAATTTGTTCAATTATGTTTCTGGATTAAGGTTTTTTATCATTCTTCCTATTATATTGTTAATTTGTTATGATTGTTGGTTTAAATACGAATAATGTACCTAATATTTTACTTATGTTATACCATTATTGTATCTTTTTCTTTTCATGACATTATTTAAATTTTTTGCATGCGAATTTTCTTATTCTTCCAGGGAAGGCAACCACCCCGATGACTACTCACGCGGTCTCACTTATCGTAAATTACTCGAAGAAGTTTGTCGCTTCGCAAACGTACTTAAAGACCATGGTGTGAAGAAGGGTGATCGCGTCTCCATTTATATGCCGATGATCCTCGAATTGCCAATTGCTATGTTGGCTTGTGCGCGTATCGGCGCCGTACATTCCATTGTTTTTGCCGGCTTCTCATCCGATTCGCTGGCGGAGCGTATGTTCGATTGCAAGCCAAAGTGCTGATCACCGCTGATGGTGCTTGGCGTGGCGAGAAACCATTGTACCTGAAGGCACTCTGTGATGTGGCGCTGGAGAAGGTCGAAGAGTTGGGACACAGCGTGGATAAGTGTATTGTGGTGTCACATTTGAAACGCGTGACGCCATGCGTTGACGATCATGTCGAACAGGATATACCGTGGACGGATGATCGTGACTTTTGGTGGCATGAAGAGATGGAAGACAAAGAACCAGCCTGCTATCCTGAGTGGATGGAGGCGGAAGATCCACTTTTCATGTTGTACACAAGTGGCTCCACCGGCAAACCGAAGGGCGTGTTGCATACCACAGCGGGCTATTTGCTATATGCAGCGACTACATTCAAGATCGTCTTCGATTATAAGCCCGGTGATGTTTACTGGTGTACAGCCGATATTGGCTGGATTACTGGGCACACATATGTGGTGTATGGACCGTTGGCAAATGGGGCAACGTCGGTGATGGTGAGTGCAGTTGGAGTATAAGATATGTGTTTATATTTTAAAGTGGCTACTATATTTGGGGCACCCATTTTATTAATTTCAGTTTGAGGGTACACCATTCTATCCCGATAACGACCGATTCTGGGCTGTGATCGATAAATATAAGGTGACTCAGTTCTATACCGCACCCACAGCTATACGTGCGCTAATGAAATTTGGCGAGGCGCCCGTCTTGAACATAATCTAAACGGTTTAAAGTGAGTTTAGCTTTGTTTGCTAGCGTGTAATTCTAAAGATCAAAATGTTCTTCTTTTTAACTGCAGAGTACTTGGTAGCGTTGGCGAACCTATCAATCCAGAGGCTTGGCTGTGGTTCTACCGCTACATCGGCAAAGAGAAGTGCTCGATTGTTGACACATTCTGGCAGACAGAGACAGGTGGTCATGTTATTACTCCCATTCCAGGCGCTACACCCATGAAGCCGGGTTCAGCGGTAAGTCGCTGTTGGTTTGCCCATTATAAAATATATTTAAATTATTAATTTTTATTGCAGTCGTTCCATTTTTCGGTGTTAAGCCCACGCTACTCGATGAAAGTGGTATTGAAATCAAGGGCGAAGGTGAAGGTTATCTAGTCTTCTCGCAGCCTTGGCCAGGCATGATGCGCACGTTGTTTAACAACCATGACGCTTTGAGAGCACATATTTCTCGAAGTTCCCTGGCTTCTATGCACCGGGATGGTAAGTTAATGCTGCTAAACAAAAATTTATTGTTGGAAAAAAGTCCCTCATAACCTTCTGAAAAAAGCCCTAACTTTAGAAGAGTTCGTTGAATTAAGAAGCTAAGCACAGTTTTTTTGTAACAAAAGCGCCGCCGAAGTAGATGTAGGCTCCGTAGGTGAATACTTAATACGATAGAAACTATTAGAAATGGTGTAGAAATCGGTTGGAATTTTTGTCAGCAAGTTCTAATCCCCTCAAAGCGTATCTCTCAGCTTCCCAAGTTGGCATCGAAACAGACTTGACATGAAAATGGTAGGAACACTATTCCGGAGGTGAGGAGAATATTTCAACAATAGTTCTGTTTCATTTGCTTGGCAGTGGCAGGAAAGTTTATTACACAAGGCAACACAGGTTTTGGTGCGGTAAATGGTAAAACTGTTTTTGATAGACTGGTTTGTGCTGATTACGAATCCGTAAGTGTAAAGTTTCCATCAGCTCTAGATTGAGAAAAACGAGGCCAAAGTGTTAAAAATCGCGTTTTTTGCAATATTTGATAAGCTCTAGCAAAGAAACAAATGGTGTCACCTAGGCTTAAATTAAAGCTAGAACTCTCGACTACTATCGCTAAGAATACCATCCCTGCATCTTGACCCTAAGGTCACTCATAGTAATTTATTGAGCAATGAAAAAAACTGGAGAATTGTGCTATTTAAAAAAAAAGTTGCACCAAAGTCAGTCTTTGCTGTGCAATAATTGACTATAGGTGACCATTAGGCCGAGGTGTAGGGATGAAATGCCGCTTAATGTGGTGGTTTCCATCTTGTTACAAATTTTTGTTTTATTTGAATTAATCTGAGAAAAAACCCTTTCTACATTTGCTGTTGAAACCATATACAAAATTTTCAAGTCTTGCAGAAGTTTTATATTGATTTAAGTCAATGGCTTATGTGTATTCAATATGATCTACAGTTTTTAACGAAATAAGATGCTTATCTACAAATCGGCCTTATAGTCTGATCACGACAACTTAACGTATCTTACAGGCTCTCACTTAAACATTCTCTTAAATGGATGCTGCTTAAAATTGAACAGCCGAAACTTAACGTAACTTAATGCCACGTCAAAATCTGTTTCATTTTGATTCTCTAAGTTCTACGTTCCGTTAATTTAAGTTAATAATAATAATAATAGATTGACGCTTACACATATGTATGTTAGTGTTTGGCCGAGCTTCTCCTCCGATTTGTGGCGTGCGCCTTGATGACCTACAGCTTTACGCCGACTCCGAATGGCGATTGTTAAGTTAAGTTGTCATAATCAGGCTTTTAGGCTTAACTGTCATCGACGGTGTTAATGCTGACCTTGCATATCGCTTTTCAGAAAGATTTCAAAATTAAAATTGCAACCAGTGATGACAGTTAAGTTTCAGATGGGTTCTAATATCAGAAACTGCAGATAAGTCGTATTGAATATAAGCCCTCGATATGGAATTTTTGTTTCATTTTAATATCTTCAGTTTAAGATTTTTACAATATTTTTTTTTTTTAATAAGACTTCCTTTTGAATACCTTACTTCTGGCAACACTATATGTGACTTGTATTCCAATGTTTTCGCCCAACATTCGCTGAGCTCTTTCAAAGCTCATCTGCCAGGAGTAAACCACTTATATGGAGTGGAGTGCCACTATTTCCTCACTCGGCTATAATTGCCTTCCTAGCTGAACTGCTCTGCTGTTACCTGCTTTGTTACTGGGGTCTGAAACCCATCGAGAGAGAGAGGTTAGCCATTCCCTGGCCGTTATTGAACAAGTCATCAAAGAGCAAAGTACACTTAACTGTCTCCTGGCTATTAGAATATATGTTAGGCTACTTAAAAACGTAGTACATTTGTAAGCATCCAGCCCGTGATCCGCAAGACTAAACTTGAGATTGATGGAGAGCTTCTTGCGTAAGACACCCAATCTTTCTATCCATCTTTTTATCCAGTTTCAATTTACAGTGCCATTGTTCCAGAAACTAGACACTATCCAATCCTCTCTGGATGGAAGGTGAGGGTGAGGCATCCACTTGGACTCAAAGTCGGTGTACGGCGGCACTCTGAGCTAAGCATCTTTAAAATCGTGCGGCTTTATAATTGATTAGAGCTCTTTAAAAACATTCGGACCGTGATGATTTCTTAGCCTTTATCTTCTTCTTTGAAGCATTGAAGCTCTATTTAAATTTTAAGTTAACTGCTGAACTTAAGCTTACTCTCCACTATAAAAACGTCCCTAAGAGTATTGCAATTTTGCCAGTTTGGCCTCAATGGTTATTGCCAATGGCAAGATATTGTTGAAAGGCAGGTGTTCAAAATTTCCGATGTGAGAACACCTAAATAATCTACTACATACATACTTATGAAATATTTGAAAATCTAATTTAATTAACGCCACTTAGAATAAAGTTAAATAATACTTTAATACCACTTCAGGTGCACGCCGCGATGCTGATGGTTACCTTTGGATCACCGGTCGCGTTGACGACATGCTTAACGTTTCGGGACATCTGATGTCTACGGCCGAAGTAGAATCCGTGCTCACCGAACATCATCGTGTGGCCGAGGCAGCAGTCGTTTCGCGGCCACATCCGGTGAAAGGTGAATGCCTCTATTGCTTCATTACACCGAATGAGAATGAAACATTCGATGCGAAACTTGTGTCGGAATTGAAGAAGCTAGTACGTGAGCGTATTGGACCATTCGCAATGCCTGATGTTGTACAACATGCACCCGGTTTGCCAAAAACGCGCTCCGGTAAGATAATGCGACGCGTATTACGCAAAGTGGCTGTTAATGATCGTAATGTTGGCGATACCTCAACGCTGGCCGATGAGAGTATCGTTGAGCAATTATTCAAGAACCGACCGATAGAAGCTAAGTAAATGTGAATAAGCAATGGCGGACGTACACACATACACATACTTTAACACAGCTATACAAGAAATTTAGAAATAATTTGTAAAAAGAATGAACATATGCTACTTAAAGATGTAGGTAAAAGGCGTGAATGCAAGGTCTAAACAACGAGGGTAAAAAAATTGACAAAGTCAAAATGTGCTTATACTATGCACTCGTAGAAGTGGGATCAAGTAGTGGTTAAAAAACAAAAAACAAAAAAAAAATAGTTATACAAAAGCTTGAAGCCATACATACATACACACTTTAGCTACATACATAAGTAGCACCTAGATTTTGAATTTTATTTTGTTTTTTAATCTTTTTAATTGCGTGGCTTGCACGTATTAAGTGTAAAAATTAAAAAATCTCCAAATATTTTAAGTAAGTACGTATGTAAGTAAGAATTTAGTTTAATGCCTTTCTGCACAAAAAAATATTTCCATTTCATGGTGCATTAAAGCTCAGGACAAATGCGTCCTGGGATAACGAAAGTTGACTTTATTATAAGTAGTTAATTGAGTGGCAACACTTTTTTCTTTTAAATACATGTTTCTTAGAAATAAATTTGAATTCATTTACACAAATTTTCAAGCCGAAAGTGATTTTGCGCCACAAAGTTTGGATTTCCTGGTACTTTTGAAATGATGTATGCATTTATTGTTTAATACACTAAAGCATATGCGCAGAATAGAAAGCAAATATGTAGTACAAGCGTAACAAAAATTAAGTAAAGTCGAAATTAAATAATTAAAATTACTTAATTTGTTTACATTTCGACTTTAATTTATTAATGCGGTATAGTTTTTTAAATTAGTTTCTGTGTTACTTGTAAATGCCTGCTACATGCACACATACATACATAAAGCATGTTTTGTAGTTATGTAGTTTTTATGAAACATTTGAAATGTTTTTTTTTTTTTTTTAAGGTACATATATGCACTTTTTAATACTTTCACTAAATATTGTTTTCCTGTTTAGTTCTCGGAGTTATTGTAGATTTTAAATGTGATAAATGCTTACATTTAATTCATGTATATTATTATGTAGATTTTTGGTACATTTAAATAATAAACTTGTAAAAATGCTACTTAAAATACATAACAAAAAACATTTTAACACAAATCGCTTAGTTTACATACTACACTGACGCGAAAAACTTGGGTTACAAGCACGCTGACGGAGCAGGTGGGTAATAGAAATAACACTGGTCAACAGCGGTTTTGGTGCAGCGGAGCTATAGTTCCTTTTTAACTTTTGTTTTATTTAATTTAATCTGAGAAAAACCCCTTTCAACATTTGCTGTTGAAACCACAAAAAAAATCTTCATAGTCAAGATTTTCTATATGGGGTTACAGTTTCATTTTAATATCTATAGAAACAAATTTTATTTCCAGCGTGTAGCTTTCTAGATTTTGACTTGTACAGAAAAATACAAATTTACATGAAAAATTGCATTTATTACGTTTTACGTATTATGGAAATTTGATTGACATATTGCATCCTAAGATTTTAAGGCTCTACAGCATGTAATTTACGATTTCGTGGTAGGTGCATACTTGACTTATATTTTCCCATAATGTTTTTAGTAAATTCAACAAACGAAGTCCGTGCAAGACGTTCCAAATCGTTCAATGAACTTAAGAGATTAGCATCCTTTAATAGTATTCTCATTTGTGGGCCATCGAAAATTCCCGCTTTTAGTTGTTGTTATGTTTTAATTATTTTTTTTGTGTGCTTTTTGGCTGTCTACAGATATTAGGGCTCTTGATACTCAGTCGGGCTTGGGGCAATTGAACCCCTTGAATGTCACTTTTGACGTCAACGAGTTTGTTTCTTGTAATCTAGAAGCCAATACATCTGCAGATTTTTCAGATAATTCTAGATGTCTTATCAAATCATTTAATTATTTTTAACTGAAAGTGTATGGCTTTGTAGACGGTATTCATTCTCGAAGTCATAGTCACTGCTCACTTCATTGAAGATTTTTTCGAATGATAAGTCACGGATGGAACAAAATGTTGGGGGTACCTTTCCTTCGAATGTGGTAAGGGTCTTCAAGCCGATTCTAATTCTGTATAAATAATCTTATAATAATAACGCTAACTTATAATATAAAATAATTTTGTCTTATTGAGACAACTTATACGCGATGTAAACCTGGTATTAAAATCTTCGAAATGCGCCCACGATGGTATTGATAACACCCCATGGTGAAATTATAAAAAGGCGAAGTAATAAAACAGCTTTCTCGCTATATTTTCTTGACATTTGGCTATCTCACAGACATTTTTAAAGGCAAATTTTCAAATCGGATGGTATCAAATATTTCTTCCCGCTCTTATTACTTCACCGGGTAGAATTTTACTAAGATACACCTAATATATGTAAAAGGTAACGTCAATTTTAAAACTACACGTAGGAAAAAATTAAATTCCTTGTAACAAACCACTAACGATATTACGGCACCAAAAAACTTTTTTTAGTTTGTTGACCTGTGTAATAGAAAATTTTTCAACAATGTACAACCAAATTCATTGGAGTTTCCTCTTTTTAATATCTTTTCCGTTTTATTCCAACACATTTTTATGACTTCTTCAATTTGCAATTTATTTATAAATAGCTAATTGAAGTAAGAATCTTAAATGATCTCCTTTATATGAGATGGATAGATGATAAGGTGGGATCATCCCAACACTTTCTATTAGACTGCCCAGGCTTCGCGAGGCACTTCCTAACTCGCCCTGAGGAGTTCTCAGGCATTGAAATTAGCTGCATTCGTAATTATGTGGCTTTCGTGGCATCACACAGGACCAGGGACCCAGTTTTTTATAACATTTATATTAATCTCCGTTAGAAAAAAGTAATTTTTGGACTTTTATTTTACTTAAAATAAAATAATCCGTTAACCCGGACTTTTATTTTTTAGTCTAGTAATAACAGTTAAACTTGGCCAAATATTTTTTAAGGCCGAAATATACGTCCTTTCCTCATAAAACGGCTTAAACAGGTATCAAATGAAAGAGGACTAAAATAGCTTTATGATGGCATGCCCAATATTTTGCGGGAACTAGTGTTGGGAAGTATCGAGTCCTTTTGAGGATCGAGTTCTTTGGAATCGATACTTATAAGGATCGGATATTTGTTGGCCGTACTGAGTACTTTCCTTAAATATATGTATACGTGTTGGTAATATTTCAATGCTTAGCGTAGAAATCTTACAAGCTAGCAGTTCTTTTTTTAAATTAATATGTTAATCCCAAATTACGTCAAATAAATGGCTAAGTGTACCAAGTACTTGAAGTATTTGAAAATTATTGAAACTTGAAATGGAGTAGAATCATTTCTGAATACCGGTATACATATGTAAATAGAACTCAGTACCTCAGTATCTATTCGACACTTAATACTGAGTTATTTGAATTGATCATGAGTACATGTATCAGAGTAATGATTGGAACAGTGTTTTTTAGTACTGAGTACTTTCGAGTTCTTTAACGTTCTAAGTGGCCGAGTGAGTAAATCACTGGCGTACCTTTCGCAGCGGATTTTTCTTTATTAATTAATTAATTTTTTATTTATCTTTCTTTTATTTCTTAGATGTTACTATTGTAAAAAGAAAAATATAAATTTTTTAATTTAATTAATATTAATTTTTTAATTTAATTACATTTTTATAAACTTATTTGGTGCATTTTTCCTTTTAGAAATAAAATTTTTTTATATGGTATTTATTTTTCTTTTAATTTTTAGATTTTATTATTTTAAAAAGAACCGTATTTTTAAAGTTCGTTTTATTTTTAGAAACTTATTTTATTTTGCTATTTTTTATATATGTATTTTCTTTTAATTTGTAGATTTCATCGTTTTAAATCGTTTTTTTTTTTAATTTCATTTAGTTTTTAGGAACTAATTTTGTTTATATTTATTTTTCTTTTTTGTTTAAAATTCCTTTATTTTTAGATTTTATTGATTCAAAAAGAAAAAGATTTTTGAATTCTATTTAATTATTAGTTTCTATTGTTTTAGAAGGGAAAATATACATTTCTTATTTACAGAAAAGAGCTTTCAGGATCAGGAGTTGTCAGATTTGAAAACTATCTTAAGAAAGCCTTTTGTCTTTCGAAAGACTGTGGTCATATAAGCCTTTTCGTAACACTGAGTATGTATCTTGTTGAGCTTATAAATTGCACAAAATGTAAGAGAGGCTGATAGGTATGCGATTCTTTGCATTTAATATAAAAAAGTATTTAAAATTACAGAGAGCTAGTTTACTCATGTTTCGCGCGTCGCACTAAATTGTGCTGGTATAACTCCAGTCGGACAAGCCGCTTTTTACATAGATAGGATACATTTATCGCTCCGGTGTAGAATAGAATGTGCTTGCTTTTGCCTGTGAGCTTTCCCCTAGGAGAGGAATGTGATCAAGATGTAGGAGATTTTATGCTATATTTATTAATTAATTTGATACTAGTGATATTCACATATTCAATATCTTTTATCCGCCAAATATAATACCGCTAATAAGATAGTCCGAACATTTCACATATCTGACTGAACTTTCTATAGTGAGTAGGCAACCATTGGGACAGGGTTTAGATTTTTTCTGTGTCACCTCCACGGTTGCCGTTTTGGTCCAAATTTACCAAATTTGGCCCATTTCTTTTCGTTTGGTCCATTGGTCCAGTTCTGTTTAAAATGGTCCATTTCACAAGCCTTTGATTAGGTTATTATCACCCTTTCACTTCATGCAATAGTTTCGCGTTTTTATTTTTTCTATCCATATGTTGAATATCGTCATCGTCAGTAAAAGTGACGATATGGCCATCGTCAGCCATGTTACTGTTGCGCTGACGATCGTCGACGATATTCAGCATAGGGCCGATTGGCAACACCTGCTAAAAGTGTGAACTCACCTTGCCACTGATCTTCAAATATGGCGTGGCTAATCATCTGTCAAAGCACGCTTAAAAAAATATCGCGGTTTCTTGCTAATTTCAATTGCTCGGTGACCAATATTCAAGTGGCTGGC